CAAAAATATGATGAATATTTTAATATTAAAAAAATTTATGCACGAAAATATTACAGATAGTTTTAATAAAATACATTTTATAAACTCAGCTACAAATAAAATAAAAAATTTAACATGAAATTCTTAGAATTTTTGGTTCATAGTAGTTTCCAAATGTTATAAAAGCTATATATAAACTATTGAATTAAAAACTGTAACAGATAATTTTAAACTGTGCGCGCATGGTGGAAACATGACGAAAATTTTTGTCACAAAGCGGATTAAATTATAAAAATATTTGTGGCAACACAAATTTTCTGATTACGATTTCAGAAAGCAGCTGTATTATGTAGTGAGCCATAAAAAGTTGGAAGTAATTGCTTTTAAAATAAGGAAGTTATCTCAATTCTTGCAACAGTCACATATTCGAAGATCATAAGGGGTTTAAGGTGTATCAGCCCCCTTAAATTTTCCATAACACTCACGTCCACCAATACCTGAGGGTATAAGACCACTGAACACTTGTTAGATTGACCAGGGTCAGGGCCCAGCGAAAGGGTTGGCTGCATGAGCGGTTTCGTGATTTTTATCGCCGTGCAATGTAGACATCTCTTTCCGTTATGAAGATAGCCTTTATTTGCTTTGCCCGAATTCAGATAGCCTTTACCTAACGATTGCACTAGCTGTACTGGTTTAACTAGTTACTAACCATATAATGGTTTTCATATATTTACTACATAAACAAATCTTCTGATTTGTTCTTAGCCATCTGCTGATGTAAAGGAATCGTCCTATTCCTTTTACCATTTCTCGATATTATCATCATAGTTCTTCTCAGAAGTCACTTCTTAGATCCGTAGTATTACTCACAATGGGTAAGTATCTCTTAATCAGGATTTCTGCGTACGGAACCTGTAAACGTTACTTGGTACTTTTATTTATGGACATACATACGTAGCAGAAATTCATTAGAAAATTATACTTGTAGAACATAATAGTTATCTTATAGAGACATTAAAAGTATTTTTTGACAGCAGGACAAACGAAAAATGAACAATGACCTCGCCGGGACTCAAACCACGGACCTCTCAGATACGAGCCGAGCGTGCTGACCTTTACACTATGAAGGCATGCTGAGAAGGCGGGAGAAATATCTTATATACTCCTGTATTAATATCTTATATATCTTATTGTGTCTTAATTATTGTGTCTTAATCACGAAGACATGCTAAAAAGGTGGGAAAAATACGTTATAATTTAATACACTTGTAATAAAACTGTTCCTTTTCTTTTAGGTTTTTTTCAGTCTTTGTATTTGTAACAGCAGGCCTGTACATTGTCTTAATTGTAAGAGCAGGCCAATAAAGTGTGTGCATTTAATTATGGCAAAGCACACGAGGGCTGTCTTCCTAAGGGAAGGGATGCCTTCGTGGAGGACTTTCTAAGGGAAACTGGCTCATGTACACGTTACACATGGGGAAAACCACAAAAACGCCCATGCAGCGAACCCGTTCGCGGGATTTGAACCTCGGACTGAACTACCAGTGTTCAGCAACTTTACCGCTCGGCAGCTGGTGGGCAGCAGGCCAATAAAGAAATGTATGTTTTGTATGTTGATGACATACGGGCTTTATGTTATGGGTTTATGTCCAGTGTTCTAAATTTATAAGAGTATATTTAAAAATTTCTTGGAAAAAAAAAAGACCTTAAACCTGGCTTAACATATTTTTCTGTTATCAAATGCTAGGTTGTTCACCTGAGAAATTTGATTGCAGAGTCCCAGAAATAGACGAAAGCTCGTTAATCTCGAAGAAGAAGCAAACAATGCGCATAGTAACTAGCTTTATGCGGTCGTATCTTTTATGTTCCTTTCCGTATAATTCGATTTATTGATAAGCTCGTGTTTCAGCCATCGATAAGAGAGATGAATTCTCGTGGCAAAGTGCGTCAGATAATAAAGTGTTGATGAAAACACCCTTTAACCCGAGGAGGAAATGTATTTGGTTACCGGATTAGAAGAACGCCCTGCAATTTGCTCGAGAAGAGGCGTGAAAGTAATCAGCAAGACAGATAATATTAGATGAACATAAATATGAACACGTTGGAAAATGATAGGGAGGCGATGCCTTAGTGTAGCATCCTTTCAGTGCTTTACGAAATTGCTTATAATTATTACATAAGATATAATCTTACGTAATTATGTATGGACGTACGTCTTTATAACTGGGTCTTACGTATTTATGAACGAAATTATTTATAAATGTCTTCCTTTTCGTGCTTAGAATATGCATGATAATTCCAAGAACTGCAATACATTTGTTTCTGATGAAGGACAAAGCATTTTTAAACTGCAGATCTTATTGTGTACAGAGTCGGGACGCTTAAGGGAGCGGTGGACTTTAAAATACTCAGTAGTGATTAGGATATTTTTAGAGGCAGAAAAGATGAAAAATAGCAAACGCCTTCGCCGGGAATCGAACCACGGACCACTGGAATATCGTCCCAGCGTGCAAAACCACTACACCACGAAGGACGCTAGGAAAGTGGGAGAAATACATTACAATGTTTATACTCTCATAATATTCCATATACATAACTACATCGTATGCAAAAAAACCGAGTTTAAATATTCTAATTTTTAAAGAAATTACAAGCATTTAAAATGTGTAAAAAACGTAAACTTTGCCCTTTAAATTTTGGAGAAAAATCTAAAAAAAAGTATTTCAACAGATATTTACTGATGTAATAATTTATATATTTTCCCAAAAAAGGCTCAAAATGTTAAGTATTAATGAATATTAATGAATTTAACTATTAATGAATTTAACTTTGGTTATGTGAATTATTATTAATGAATATTAATGAATTTAACTTTGGTTAAATTCATTAATTACTATTAATGAAACTATTAATTAATTAACTTTGGTTATGTGAATGTTATACGCTTAGAACAGGAAGAAACAATCTCGTTTTCTCTACTCATTGCAAAAAGGCGTGATCAACGTCTCTTTTTGAACCAAAGCAAAAAGAGAAGTTTACCTGCTTGAAAAAAAAAAAAAAAAAAAAAAAAAAAAAAACAGAAATAGTAAAAAATATTGTAAAGCATTAAAAGATAATGTAAATGTAGCAAATGAAGGTAAAATGTATGATGCGAGTGAATTTTAAAAGTTTCATTAAATATAATGCATAAATTCTTTCTTCCTATAACTTTGAATCACGTACCAATTTGCGATATGTTTATATTTGTCATATTTAATATTATGAGATTAAAAACAGTTGAATGATACGACGAAAATGTTATCTAGTGTCTACATATTCATATTAAAGTTAATTTGCTGTTTCTCATGACCATGTATTAAAGGTAAGTTTGAAGAAAAGCTTTAAACTCGGTTTTCACAAAACAAACTTTTTCCCAGTTCGTATGTCTTGAAAATGCTCCATGCGTCTCATTTTTAGTTAAAAATGAATGATATTTGGAAGAAACTATTTTGTTATATGTTAAAATAGATCTGTGTATGCGTTTTGGATATGAGGTTTTTAAGAAGTTTAAACTTGTGATAATATTTAACAAAAGGTGATATTTTTCCAAAAACTGGGTTAAAGTTCACAAAAATCAATTTTAAAATTTTCTGTTCCATCATATTCAATAATGGATACACCAAAACTTTTGTCAAGTCTTTATAACAAACTTAAAGGAAGCATTAAGAAAAAATATTGAAAATTAGCGCGCAAGGAGCAATTTTAAATCTTTAGTTAAAATAATTAATTATTTGTTTTAAAAACTTTTAATTTAAAATAAATTAAAATTTTGAACATATATTTTATAAACTGATGTTATAATGCGTATACGTATGTATAAAATTTCTTGTTGAAAGCACAAATACTTAAAAAAGTAATTTTTAAAGTCCACCGTTCCCTTAAATCTCTGCAATGAAATCTATCGAGAATTGAACCAATGGTACATTATTTCTTTCATGTGATTTTTTTAACATGACGAGTGAAAACTAATGCAGTGTGAAAACGGTTTGTGAGAAAAACATATTACTTAAATTATTACATGCCTTTAAAAAAGCAGATTACTTTTATATGTATAATATTTAATTTACTTGATTGCGTTTTTAGTTTTAATGTGTATGTAATATATGCTTATGTTAACCCAATAAGTCAGTATTAGCAATAAAATTTTCAATTTTGTAAAATAAACCCATCTTTTTCATCCAACATCTTAACAGCGCAACTTACTCTGTGATGGACGAATATACTCGTCATGGCTCGATTCTGGCGATACGAAACGGTGCGCGCTCTTGAACGAAGGCGCCACTGTTAACTGGTTAACGACTTAACACACTCTATCCAGTTGTATGACTCAGAAAATATATGCTACACAATTTATGTTAGAACGAAAGAGATGACTCTGTGCTTCCTACGTGATAAATGCTTCTGAATGCGTTAAGCAGCGTAGAATTGAATTTAATTGGCAAGGCCGTATATATACGGCTTATAATATATTTTGTGATATATGTAAGAACGTATATATACGTGCATATTAAAATATGTTAAAGAAATTAAGGCAATATATTACGGTGTGGTGGTGTATTTAATTTTGGCAAAGCACACGAGGGCTATCTGCCTAAAGGGAGGGATGCCTTCGTGGAGGACTTTCTAAGGGAAACTGGCTCGTATACACGTTACACATGAGGAAAACCATTAGCAACGTAGAAAGCAGTGTTGCTTTGACACTTATCGCTGCACCAGTGTCCTACTGGTAGCACATGTAAAAGAACAATTTAATTGCCCGTACTGAATTTTAATTAGAATAGTTGTTTGTGCAAAAGTTATGTATTATATATCGTCACCAAAAATAAAGGATTCATTTGATGTGGTACTTTGGCGTTTCCAAAAACATCAAAATTAAAGCGTTATATTAGCTTTCAGTTAAGTTTTCCTTTGCGCGATTATCGTGATCTAAATACCATTGTTCACTTTATTGGTCTACGAAAAATAAAATATAACAAACTTACGATAAATCCGTGAAAACGAGCTGATGTGGCTTTTTTCCTTCTTTCTTGAATGGTGATCTAAAAACGGAAATAAATTCTTTTTTTAAAGATCACATGAGTTGGGCTGTTGGTTTAAATTTACAGATTAGATTTTTCGTTTTGGTATTTCTATTCAATTATCTTGATTTGTTTAAGAAATAGTGAATCTGTAAATATATTTAAAAAATAAAGTTTTTCTAAAGAAGAAAATTAGACACAATGACGAAATTTATTTTGGTCTCTAAGCGGGGAATAAAACAGATTACTTAAATAAAAAATACAATGTTGGATTATTAATATTTAAAGCACTATTTGAACTAAAGTATTTATTTACATTTTTTTGCATTTCAGTTGTAGTCTTCCTTTATTTTGTCACATATTTTTTTTGCTTTTTAAATTTTTCAGTGGGCTAAAAGTAATTCTTAAGTTGTATTACATAACTGGAGGATTACGTGAATTTAAAATTTATCCAGAGTTTTAGTCATTTCTTACTCTAACAGTTCGCTAAGTACATAAAAGAACACCAAGAGACACAATTTTGCAGAACTTTAAATTAAAAATTAGGTGAATGGCATGTTGAAGTAAGATCTGTCTCTGCTAAACATCATACCGATTGAGGGGCATATCTAATTAATTTCGAGGTAGCAAATTCCTTCTTCTCTTGAACTGACTTACAGTTCTGTCAGTTTGGTCACTTAGCCTGTGCCTATTATACCTCAACAACAATCAGGGAAAATTGGAAAGGATTGGCTAATTCGTTAAAATAAAAACTTGTAGAGACATTAGGATTTTTTGGAATCAAAAGAGATTGAAAAAATTAGCAACGCCTTCGCCGGGAATCGAAACTCGGACCTCTAGATACGCGCCTAGCGTGCAGACCTCCACACCACAAAGGCACGCCAAGAAGGTGAGAAATACCTTATATACTCCTCCTTTTAAGGGGTTCCCCTTATATTTTCCTTCAAAAAATTGTGATTTCGGATTTTTGCATTTTGAAATTCTCTACACATTTATCTTTCTAAAAACACCATTCTTTAATCTCTATGAAAATTAGAACTGTAGAAAAAACTAGTTTTAATATGTCATCGACTGCTTTGATCAATGAGGATTTTTACATAAAAACGCGTTGTTCTCCAAACGTGATTTTTTTTATACTCGATGTACCTTTTCTCAGGAACTACTGCTCACAGGTATCTAAACTTTTTATGGCTTATTTATTAGGTTCCCTAATATTTACTGAAATGAGCTTTTTGTAATAAACTTAGAAAAATAAATTAAATTTTTTTTGTGTTGAGAAAAGTGCTAAATTTTACTATGCCTAACAAAATATTCTGTAATTTACTCTAAATTTCAAAAGTTCATTTCTGTATAATCAGATAGGTATACTTTAATTACAGAAAACATTTCAAGCTTGTATCTACAGCAGATTTTTAGAAAAGGTACATCGAAATGGCCAATTTAATGTTGTCGGTATAGGGGTTTCTGATACTAGGGTGTTTTTAGGGGACCCAATCGCTTAATCCTGGGTGAGAATCATCATCCAACACCCTTTTAGTTCGGGTGCCACTGTAGAGACAGTAGGATTTTCTGGAAGCAAGAGAGATTGAAAAATTAGCAAAGCCTTCGCCGGGAGTCAAACCTCGGACATCTGGATACGCACCCAGCGAGCAGACCACCACACCACGATGGCATGCCAAAGAAGGTGGAAGAAATTCCTTATAAACTGACAAAAAGAGCATTCCTTAGTATGTACAAATAATATTGGGGTCAACTTCTGCGGTTTTCCTGATATCGGAAATAGTCTTCCCGCTGGAAACATATTGAAGATAAGTGGAATCGAATACCCGAACAAACAATTCGAGAGAAAATTCGTTTTTCTCTATCTGGAAGACGAGAAGAAAGAACTAACTTCTCCAGGCAGAAAGGCATACTATTTGATAACATTCTTATTACCTTATACATATTTATTTTGCTGAAGTTGATAACTTCATTATTTGAAGAACTGCACACATAAAACAATTGCTTTGGAATATTATGGATCACAAATACTTCCTGAAGAGAGAGAATGAACCTCTTCTATCATACCTCTTTTCATTCTGGCGCATTTTTATTGCAAAGAACTAAAACAGGTAAGGATCTGAGTATACCCTATAAAATGGGTTCCAATGATTGTTAATGAAGACTTCAAGATCTGCGCTTCTGCGAAAACGCCTGATGAAAAAATAAATTGTCTTAACGTGATTATTATTCCCTTGTTTAAAATAAAATGAAGAATGGTTTATATTATACTACAAATATAAGTCATTTCGCATAAAAATCATTTTGGATGAAAGAAGTTTACTGCAATGCTCTCAGTGATTGATTGCTATTTATTTAAATTTTGAAATACTGGAAAATATTACAGTCAAACCTCTATTTATTGAACATCGTATTTTACGAATTCCACTAATTAGCAAAGTTTTTAGCGGTGTTCCTTATGCAAAAAACTTGAAATAGTGAAGTGAACTTGTAAGGATCCTAAGTTTTACTAAAGTTTATTTTATTTTAAAACTGTACTATCACTTCTTATTTTCTACTTCCGGCCAGAATTAAATGCTTGAACTTGTTTATGCAAATTGTCTTGCTAACGCCCAAGTATTTAAGTTGTGGCTTTTTGCCAAGAGTTAGGAGAGAGAGAGAGAGGGAGATTTAGGAAGCAGGCCGTTTGCCACTGCAGTTTTACGACTTTTCACTCGGTTGCTGGTTCCCTTTAAGGCCAGAGGTTTAGCCCTCTTAATATTTGCAAACGTATTGTAGTTTCAGCAGCTCGGCGTAGCTACATACGTACCCTTTTAAATAAAGGCCAGTCTTAGTGCTAGGCATTTATATACTCATTCAACGTTAGCTTTTAGTTAGAGTTTTAGTTAGTAGTTTTATATTCTTACGTTCAGACCACAAGTGGTTGGTCTCTGTATCCCGAAGTTCGAGAGTACTTGTAAAAGTATAGAAAATAAAGGGTTTCGTATACCCTTCCTGTTTGTGTCGTCGGTTACACACAAATCTTGAACATAGCTTGGGTAATCACCCTGTTCCTAATCAGGACACATCATGTTTCCAAAGCAAATCAAGAGAAACTCAAGTCCTAACAAACTCTTTATTTAACAAAGTATTTTAATGAAGGATTTTTTTAAAAATTGCTCTTTCTATTTCAATCATCTATTCATTTGCTGTGACTATAAAGAAATGCAGATGCCTCGTTATCTGTTGTCACATTTCATCTTATATAAGGGATGAAGATTCTAGAGTGAGAAGGCATTTACCCACTCTGTGCTTAAAAATCCCCCTACTAATCTTGTTTCTCAAATCAATTTAAACTTAAACAACAGCTATACGTTATTTTTATTTTTGCTTTTCGTGGTTTTCCCGTGCAAATCTTTTTGGCCCAAATAGCGTTAAGACAGAAGGTGTTTTGGCATTTTGCGTCGAAAATTTTAAAAGCCTGAACCACTTTTTAATTGTTGTCATCAAATATTATCGCTCTGTATTATATTTAAAGAAATTAAATAATGAAAAATCTGCATGAACGTAAGTATGTTTCTCGCATTGCGATAAAACAATGATACCTAGAGCCATCCAATTTTGAATAACGTACGTCTCCACCCGAATATGGACATCTGGAAGCCCAAATTTGGAATTTGTTTTAGTATCTATTTCATACTTTGTAAAGCATTTATGAGTTTTGATTAAGAAACTCAACGATTTTAAAGCGAGCAACGACTACAATATACGGTAAAAAAAAATTATCTCCAGCGCGCGAGATTGTGTGTCGGAAATTCTAAAGATAAGCTCATTTTAAAATTATTTTGCGATATTGCTGTTGAACTGAATTTTATGGCGTAAGGGCGAAGAACATGGTATTTAATAAATAAAGGTAATACACGAAACGTTAAATAAAATAAACGCCCCCTTTGGACGTAATGTTAAATCTGAAACTTATCCGATTATTTTTACGAAGATTCTCTGTATGAAACTTTTGATGGAATTCAAAGTAAAATTATACTATACTCCATTCGCAGAAAGTGCACTATGTAAAAGGATTCGCTTACGCCTCAAAGCGCGAGAAGTATAAAACTGCGCCGAACTGGCATACATGGTGTGAGTCAAACTCAGTAATATTTAGGAGGTTATTCAAGGGAAAGAGTATCAGGGGAATGCAGGTTTTTGTATTACACACTACATTTTGCATTGTGTCTTATACAGAGGCTGTTCGCACATTTTGTAGACGATTTTGGTAAGCGGTAATAAAAAATCGTTTGCTGCAAAAGAAATAATTGCAATTGTACTATGTTTTTAAAAGTTAAAATTATCTGTGGTCTTGAAAGTTTCGTTTTTATTAAAAATGGCGAATTTAACAAAGCAGTGGTTCGAAGGCTACATTGACGCTCTTTCCGAAGAGAAGTAGGCATACTCCGTTATCCAAAAACGATGTGAGAGTCATGGTTTTGTGATATCTAAAGCGTCAATAGGGTAATATCATCAATTAGAAAGGAAAAAAAAAACCGTCAAATTGGAGCCTCAAGTGGGACAAAATTTCCATAACAAGTATTCCAAGGATAAAACGGATCATCCTTCGACTAATTGCAAATGGTACGTTGTTTAATGTTAAACGAAAAATCCCCCTAGTCAAAGGCCAAAGTTGCAAAATCATTAAAATGCTCGGTGTCCACTGTAAACAAAATGATAAACGTTGATTTGAATCTTAAGAAAGCGAAAAAATGTAATGTGCATCGTCTTCTTCCAAAGCATATCGCTCAACGCAGGACACGCTGCAGAATTCTATATGAGAAACACTTATCCAAAGAAAAATGGAAAATAAATGTCACAATAGATGAACCATGAGGGTATTTAAATGACTGTAACAAAAAAGAGCCATTTATTATCATAAAAGGGCAGAAAAAAATGTAAGCACATGGTTCAAAAAATCGAAAGAAAGTTTTTCTAAGGGATTCATGATTGTGGCTGGTTTTTCTTATAATGGGAAGTTCAAAATAAAGAGAGTG